GAAAAATAGCACCAAGTTATACAGTAATATAGTAACAATAACATATAATAATAAAAATAATTGTTAATAAACTAATGTTACAGTAATTTAAATGACAAATTGGCTGGTTTTTCCAGATACAATGTAAATAAATAAAAATAATAATATAATAATAATAATAATATATAACATCATATCATATTTTAATATTTATTTTATTTGCTGTATTTGTTATGTAGTAGAAAGCGTAGGATTCATAACAAAACAAAAATAAAAACCGTCCGATAATATTAATTGATAGTTTAGTAATAATAGTATTAATTTTATTTGCTTTTAAGTAGCATGTTGTTACTTATTAGAAATACAACAAAACATAAATAAAAAAAGTATGATAAACCGATTGACGAACTTGCAATGATAATTAGGCCTAGTTATATTAAATTTAGCGTTTCGAAACTTCATTGGCACTTCCATATATTTGTTGAAAACAAACCGCGACCGAAACGATCTGTATTCCTAGGCCTAGGGCCAGGCCAATTTTAATATTATTTCTAGCCTGAATTGTTACTATACTACGGCCTGGGCATGACCCAGGGGAGGCGCCAGGATTTTCCAAAGGAGGGTCCGAGATCCCCGACCTGGGAGTGGGAGGTCTCCGACGAAAAAAAAACCGAAAGAATTTCAGGGTTTTAGCCTAAGATTTAGGCCGGCCAGGCCGGGCCTATGCTAGGGCCTAGCTAGGCTAGTTCTAGCCTAGGCCTAAGCTAACCTAGGCCCCTATTCGACTTTGGATTCTACTGGGCTAGGGCCTAGCCTGGCCTGATTAATATGAGAAAAATAAACATAGCTGGATCCCAGCCTATTCTAGGCTAGGCCTAGTTCGAAGCTAGGGGCTGGGCCTGGCCTAATTTTTTGCGGCCCAGCGAATTAATTAATTGTGTTATGGTTTTTTTTTCCTTAGGCCATCTTTTCCCGACAGAGTCCTTTCCCCCGGGTCCGTGCTGGCGCAACCCCTGGCCTGACACTGACTTATAGTTACAGGCTAGGCTACATTACTACTACTGCTACCACTACCACTACTACAACCAGCTACTACAACTACTACTACCACTACTGCTCCATTACTACTACTACTACTTGGCTAATAATTAGCCTGTAGGCTTAGGTCCGTGCAATTGAACTTTACTATTGTGTACCTAAAAGTTACAATAGTAATTTGCAGCTTCATTTGAGAGAGTACATTGTTTCAACCATTAATTAACTATGTACTGTATTTACTATAAATTTTCATTTGTTGTAGCTCATCTTTTATTTTCTAGAATCTAAACATGGATCCATCAAGTAGAGGGTTTCAGCTGCTGTCCTTAGCCCGAAAGAGTAAGATATAACCATTGATTGTTAATTATAATAATTTAGCATTATTCAGGTCCTCATTTCACAGTAAAACTGAATTTCTTGACTTTGTATAAAAAAGAACAATTCAAAACAAAACCAAAGAAATATAAATGCAGAAAGTCAAAATAAAACATTAATAAAACATTAATATAAAAAGAAAAAAAAATCCCATTAAGATCTTTTAATTTTATTATGGGATGTTAATTAACTGTATGCTTTTTTATTATTTTTATAAGGACTTTGTACATAGGACCTGTTTAAAGATTAAGGAAAAACTCGATTGTAAATTTATATAAATTTACAGTTTAGGAAATTAAATAGATAAGTAAAAATAATAGATTTATGATGACGACTTTTCTTAGTGTTGCTTGAGCTTGCTTAAGCAATAGCACATGATTTCATCAACAATTAAAAAAACACCAATTTATTATAAAATTACAATGTTTAATGCTAAAATTTAACACTAAATACTCTACAGTATAGACCTATCCTAATTTTATATCTGTTTTTAAATGTTTAAAAGTTTTATATAATATGGTACAATGTTTGCACATCAACAGTTTTTCTAATAGTTTGTAGCATTATCCCAGTGAAAATAGTTGAGTATCACATAAATGGTGTCCTAATAGGCATGATGTAAATTCATTGACATGCTAACATTGAGCATCCAGTATAATCAAATTTTTGGTTTGGTTCAGTCATTCTCAATATGCATTAATAATGTTTGTTTTGAATTCAATAGGTAATGATAATTATGTGATGTACCTATAGGCCTACCCAAATTTACTTATATTTGAATATGATAAAACTTTGCATTATTTTTAAGCTATTTACTATTATCAAAATATGAAATATGTTTAGGTGATGCATCCAGAGTTCTATCTGCTTATATTTGAATAACATGACAAACCTTTGCATTATTTAAGGGTAATAATGTCTTTTTGTTATTTAGAATTTAGAGAAAAAACCTCCAAAAGTAACCACCATCCGCCTACACAAAATAGACTTCTCAGTGGTGAGTGTAAAGACTTTAATAATAACACAAACAAAAAAATTAAATAAAGGATATATAAAAAATAACAAGATTTCATCATTTACTTTTCAAGATTTCAAATTAATTAATTATTAATCAAAATTAACAATTGTTTTTTCATTGGTCATAACATGGCAAGATTAATCTTATTTTCATTTGATATTTAGATGATAAGGTAAGGAAGTGGTTGCAAAGGTCAAAACTTAGCTGCCACCAAGAGGATATAGATTCACTACTGCCTGAAGGTTGGTACAAAACTAGTTGAGCTCCATTGAAATATAAGTTATAGATATTAGCAAATGTAATTTTATCTTGGAATCGAATATTTCTTATTACTAACATAGTTTTCAAATTTGTATTAGGATGTAAAACAGTATAACTACTGAAGTTTTATCAGTTTAAACCAGTCACTCCTGGCAGATGTCGATGATATAGTACTGTATTTGAATTTTACAAACTTTAGAAAGCAAAAAAAAAATGTGTATATATTAAAAAAGGTGTGCAGAGTACGGTATACAAAAACTCAGAAAATACATTCTGATTTTGATACAAGAAACTACTACGTAACTGATTAATTCAAAAATGGCCTTAAGTTACTACAAATAATTAAAATTACCATTTTTTCAAGTCTTGATGGCATTAAGAGACATTATTGGATTAGACATTAATGTCCATAACATTAATATGTTTCGTTTAATTATTGTTATAGACACTGAGAGTTATGTAGCTAATAGTGAGATAGAAAGTGCAAACGTAGACGACGATCAATATATTCGATATATATAGTAAGAGTCAAATTTTTTTTTTTTTCATTAAAATACATCTATTTCATGTATTCATTTTACATTATTTTTGTTTGCTTTACTAGGTAATTTTAATTGCAGGGACATATATTATGCAGTTTTATGTAGTGTTTTTAAGAATTGTCATTGTCAAGCCTAAACATTAAATATCAAAAGGCCACAGCTTCACATATGTCATTCTATTAATACTGGAAAATAACTTGCCGCTATTTGTGGCTGATTATTAAGTAATGTTATAATTATGTGTTTTTGTACATGTACTGAAATGCTTAAAAATTGTTGGTCTCCTCTTTTCAGAAAGTATAAAGGGTGTAATGATACATGAGGTAAGTGAGATATTAAAATTGAGGTTATATTTAATTGTAGATTACATGATACTAAATTAGCATATTTTTAGATGCTTTGTTTATTTTTTTTTTTTTAATGGTCTACAGTCTTAAAAAGTGTTAGAGCATGGTGAAAACTAAAGAATGCATCACCATTTAAAATATCAATTTAAATTTACTAGTACTTTTCTCTATTTTTTTCCTGTATTTTTTTCTGTATCTAGTACTTCATTGATGCATATTCTCATGTTTATATATCTTGTATGAATATTTTTGGGTTACTTTTATATCTTTAGCAGCAGAAGACAAGTTCCAAAATGCTCAAAAATAAAGGCAAGTTTTACTAGTTAACGTCAACTAATGTCAACAAGTGTTGTTGATTGTAATTATGATTATTGTTGTTATTATTATTATTATTATTATTATAAATTATTATTATTATATGTATCATTGCTATACGTAGGCGACACTTCATGCAAAAAAATGCTATCTTATGGCGACAAAAATAATACGGCGACAAATAACTAGATCTATTTTATTTTTAAAGGAGAGGTTTACAAATTTTACAGATTTTACTGATTTAGCATACTGTTTTTAAATAGTGAATGTTGCGCGCAACACAGCAGCTAAATTTGCATTAACATATGAGCATCTATCCATCCACATTTAGCTAGAGGCCATGTGATGCATAGGAGTAGGATAATTCAAAGATGAATTGATGTATCACTATTTTTGAGAATAAAAAAAAATTATATTAACATACTATTAAATTAGATTGCAAATTATATACAATAAACTTCTCCTTTACCATTAACTTTTATGTACATGATTTCTAAGTTTTGTAACATTTTGTTGTTTGTCTTACTAGTTTGCCAAGTTCATAAGATTACAGGGACATTCTTATATTGTGTTGTTTTCATGGATGGCCAAAACTAAGTAAATAAATTGAACTCAGTCAAACCTAAAGTGAACAGACAAAGATATATAAAAAAAAGCTAGAAATAGCAAATTATGAAAAAAAGAGGAGTGGGGGTGGGGAGTGAGTCTTCATGACATACAAATTTTAAATTTTTTCAGTCATATTCGTCTTCGTGCAGATCATGTGTAACAAACAAATTAATTATAGCATTGATGCTGCTAAACTGTTAGGCCAATGAATTAATGCAGTATTGAATATGACAGAATAAACTTTTGATTCAATTAAAAATCTCACTGGTATTATTTGGAAGATTTCACATGCATTTGGATCCATTTTAACCAGCTAGATGCAGTATCAAAATTATAAATTCCAACAGAGATTCAAAGAGTCGTCTTATATGTCAACATAAAAAAACTGTCCAGAAATCTTCTCAAGCTCAGTGGTTGTCTTATATGTGGGTTGCCTTATACACAATTATATACTTTGGCAATTCATAGGGCCATCGAACACATTTCTCTTTTTTTCCCTGAATTAAAAAATACCATACCTTTTTGTGGGATCAATCATAATATATAAATGCGACTAAACTGCTATTTCTAAGGTGTTTGATTTAACATTTGTATATAAATGAAGCATATATGAGTTGTACTGTATGATTTGATTTTACTAATGTATAACTAAAATAAAAATGCAATTTACAATGTCTTGAATTAACTTTAATAGAATAATTTAATAGTTTACTAACTACTAATTATTATTTAAGTAGTACTTTATAGTGATATTTTATGGCCAAGACACCATTAATAGGAATTCAAACCTAAATATACAATATTAATAAATCAGTTGTTTTTACACATATATGCTGAAACACTAACAATTTGTTGTTACTCTCTTTTCAGAATGTGTAAAGCAAAGAAATGGTGTAAATGATGTAGTAACAAGAGAGGTAATTAAATACTTAATATATTAAATTAGCATATTATATAGCCATTAGTTTTACATTTCAATTGACTCCATCCCCTCTCCTAAAATGATCTGCATCCATAAATTTACTTTGAGCATGTTACTACAAACTAGACACTGAAGAATACATCATCATTTTCTATTGTATTTTTTAATATAATTTTATGTGCGTCTCTCAATTTACTCTAATCACTTTAATAGACTGTTTCTGATTTTTTTACAGTGTAATGAACGAAAAGATGAAAGTAGTGTTCACGGTGAGTTACTTAAATAGCTTCGAAAACAAGCCCATCTCGAAAAGAAGCCCATGGGCTTCATTTCAAGATAGTACAGTACGTACATACATATTTAGGCCTACACGCATTTCATTCAAAGACTAAAAATATACAATCAAAATAGGCCTGCACTTCGTATACAGAATTTTTCCTTGTATTTTTAAAGTATTTCATTGTTGGAGATTGATTACAGCGGCCATTATTTGTTTATAGTAGTAATTCCCAAAATTTACAGCATTCATTTTGAAAAGAAGCCCCCCTTTTTAGTTTGCAAAAGTAGCCTTGAAAAGAAGCCCATCTCGAAAAGAAGCCCATCTCGAATAGTAACCCATCAAAATTTCGCAATAAAAAGAAGAAGCCCAGGGCTTCAATTCGAGGTTTTACGGTATTGTGCCTCAAAAATGGTCCAAGTGCATGAATCAGTATACTGTTTAAATCCAGTCATGCAGGTTTTTAAAGGGACACAGTGTTTAATTTGTGAGATAAGTTGTCTAGGCAAATCATCATTATTATAATTATTATTATTTCTTTAAGTCCCGCCTTAAGGGGAAAAAGCTTTTTTATTTTTCCCCTTAACGTCATGTAATTTTCCCATTAGCGTCAGTATGTTCCCCTTAAGGAACTGTTTTTAACCCTCTCCATTGTTATCGTTTCCCCTTAAGGAGGGTTTTAGATACATAATAATACTAATAATAATAATAATTATTATTATTATTATTATTATTATTATTATTATTATTATTATTATTATTATATAATAATAATATAAATAATTTGCAGATTCATATTTAGTAGACTACTTAAAGGAGCATGGTCACAAGCAATGTATTGTTGTATAAGATAGTATGATGCATACTCCAAGTATTGGAATACACACCATAATGAATTGATTCAATATTTCGACGGAATTCTGATGACATAATGTCGAAATATTGAAACAATTCATGATATTGTGTATTTCAATACTTGGAGAATGTATTATACTATCTTATGTGAGACTAATCAGTGGACCTTTTGGTATTATTGTATGATTAAAGTTTCTAATTTTTTATTATTTCTGATGCTTCAGTAGAGTACCTGTAACTCATTTATTATATCCATGTTAAGTGAAACTTTTCAGCCACGTTATAGAGGTTCTACTGTTTTTCCGTAATTTCCAAATTGTAGCACTTTTATGTGTTAACGTCAATACCTATCCTTTATATATTAATTTAATATAGTAAAAATCCTCCTTTGTGACACTCCTACAAGACGAGGACACTTCCTGAGTATGCAAAATTGTAAAATAACCCCTATTTATCGAGCGGACACCTAGCTTTTCCCCATTTTGTATGACAACAACTATATATATACCCAAAATAAGAAAATTCACTTAACTTTATTATTTTGACATCCTTTGCGCAATAATCCAGACTTGTCTTCCCTTAATCCTTAAAGTGAACACTAGATAGGCTTAAATGTTGCTTTGCATAAACAAATCTTGTATATTTTGACCCTTAACCCTGGTTAGTACATACTCCAAGTATTGAACTGTGCACCATCGTTTTGGAATTCAGAATTTCGACATTATGTCATTATCAGGAATGAAAATCTGTCTATACAGATATATAAAACCTAATTTCAAGAAGAACATACCACAATATTATCTGCAGATTATTATAAGCTTGTGGCAGATGGATGAATGTTACATGTCATACCTTATTTTTGCAAACACACTACAAAAGCAAAAGACATGCTTTAGCATACAGATTATGCTTAACACCTCACCATCTGAGAGTGCAATACCACTCAGAACTTTCTCATTAATTGGGGGACTCGCTTTCTGTCGAGTCCCACAGGGCACAAAGTAGTAGCGTTTAACTGCTTTTATGGCTCTAACATGGGTGGTATCAACATCTCACCATCTGAGAGTGCAATACCACTCAGCACCCTCTTTCTACTGTATGTAGAGTTCCACAGGGCTCAAAAGTTTTAGCATTGACTGCTTTGACCTTACTTATTGGCTCTATCATAGATGGTATCAACATCTCAGACAGCGCACAAAATAGTGACATATATAATCACTGCTATCATGATCACCTGAAAATGAAAAATATTCCAACTCTTGGTATGCTGATGTTCTAAGCCTGGTGGATGTCTATAATCTTAATACTTTGCCAAATTTAATATAATGGTTTTGCCCAACAGATATACTCAATTTCAATAATCATCTTTTTAAGTAAAATTTTCCATAAGATGCATTATCTGTACTTTAAATTATATATTATATAATTTCTTTTTAGGGGGTGAACAACCTATGATATTAAACCAAGCTGAACAAAATACATCTATAGCCCAGCCCATCACTCTACCAGAAGTAGAGTCAGGTATCATACCATTACAACAGAATTGCATAATGTGATCTATCATTTATTTCAACAATTAACTGTTTAACTGTTTAATAATTTATATCGTTTTCCTTTTTTTTATGTAAAGTGCATAGAGGCACTGTGCAATATGAATGCAACTTATTATTATTATTATACTATCAGGGGTGTATTTACCATGTACGCACGAGCGTACGTGCCTGGCCAGGGGAAAGTTAAAATTTTACCAATAAATGCATGCTTTCAGATTTGAAATTTGAAGTTTTTTGTTCAATGCCCTTCAAAGTTGTGTAGTGTAAACCATTTAAAGTGAAAATCTGAGTATTGCACATGTCTAAATTTGCTGTAAAAGGTAGCCCAGAATGCACCAGAGATCACCATTTAAAAAAAAATTCTGGGGGAGGGCATGCCCACTGACCCCCACAGCATGGGGGGGGGGGGGACATCGCCAGATTTTTATCATTAATATCCTGAAGTGTGCGTACGATTTCGCCCCTGAATATAAAAGCATATATTTTTCAGAATACAAAGTTTCAATATGAAATTAAATGCAATCAAATAGTATTGCTCTCAAAATCTAAATATGGGGCATGATAATAACATTTCTGTGCACTAAAATACATTCATTAATCATTTTTTTCTATTTGCCATAGGATTTCTTCATAAAATTATATATTTATAGATAATATGTTATTATTTTTAGGTGATACATCAGCAGACCAGGTCATCAGTCCACTAGTAGCAGAGTCAGGTATATCATAAAAACAGGGATTTATTTGATCTGCCATACTATCACATACTTTTCAGAATCTGGATGTAATAGAAAATTCTTTGTAATAAAATAATATGAAAAACTGATCAAACATATAACTACTAAAATTTCTATAAACTAAAACATTTAAATAATCAATTTTTTTTAAATTAAAATGCTCCATATAGATTCCATTCATAAGCTTAATAATATACTGTACATTATTATTTATAGATAATGTCATTATTTTTAGGAGAAGAACCTATTATACAAAACCTTGATGAACAAAACAAGTCTGCAGCCCAGTTCAGCAGTCCACCAGTAGCAGAGTCAGGTATACCATAAGAACAGAGTATTATACATAATAATTGCATCATTCCATTTGTTCACCAAAGAAAAAAATTTTGAATGTGAGCAATTCATAGCCAGAAAGGTCAAAATTTAAAATTTTTACATAATCGGACCAACAACAATACGATAATTTTTTGGTGAAAAAAGGTGCAACTGCCAAATTTCAAGTTGCTGTAAGTCGGCAATCACTGATCCGATTTTAAGAAACAAGGTATTTGTTTGAAGAGACCATAAAGGAATCTAAATCATACTTGGGCAGTTTTGAGTTGGATGACATTTCGGCCTATTTGACCCTGTGGGATTTATGCAAATTATTAAATGCCTTTATGAAAAATGCAACCTTAATTGTGTGACGACTACTATAATTATATAGTTTCATGCAGTACCATGTAGATGTTGACAACCCATTCTTTCAGCGATCCATTCCATTTCCTTTCTCTATAATTCCAAACATTACATACAGAATGGATTGATATCACACAATGTATATCATAGTCATGAATCAAACGATAATGGTCAGTAATTTTTTTAGTTGGTGCATGAAGTGTGCGTAAACATGAATCCACTAGTCACTAAAATCCTCTAAGAACTCTTCCCACAAACGAATCGATGTTACCCTTTTTTATGGTGTGGAAAAGACATAATTACACAATGAGTCATCAGTAATACAAACACATTCAAATACCTACAGGTATGCACTTATGAATATGCTTTAAAATTACTCAACTGTGTTGTTTTTAGAGAGATCATTTACAAGATGGAAAGCAGTTGATGCATTCTATGTCGTGCAAGAATTTCGTTCATTCATAATAGACAAAAGCAACAGTGGTGCCAGGGGATCATTACCAAGTAAGGATTGTCTTGTGAGCAGTAGAATCAATGGCAGATCCAGGGGTGGGGGTTGAATAGGGTGGATATTCACACCCCCTTGTTATGAATTTTGCTCATGAAAGTGTCATTTCCGGCCATTCTAAGGGCTAATATTTTCTCAAATTTTCCCACCGAAGCCCCATCCATGGTGCAGCTGAGGTGTGAAGCCACTAAATTCCCCATACCTTTTGAAAAATATGTGCCAATACTCCCCACCCTCACTTCAGACCTCGCATTATTCATGCCCCATTGCTAAATCCTAGATCGGCCACTGAGAATACAAGTCATTAGACCATGTGCGTGTTATAGAATCACAGTAGTATAGTCATTGGAAAAGACCACTGTCACAAGCCCTGTATTAGTCCCCCCTTAAGCGGATCACGTCTGAATAATAAGTGAAAAGGCAAACGTACGTAACTTTGCAAAATAATTTATTATAAGTAAGAAATAACCCCCCAAATAACATAAACCAACCCCCACGTTTCAATACCCTAGCTATAATCGACCCTGAATCAACCAATCCCAAATTAACCCCAAACATCACAACCATCCCACATCAAAATACATTAACTGTTAATTACCCATAAATTCCCCCAAATAACACATACAGCAGCCCCACTCCAAAAATACCTTATCTACAATTTCACTGGTGAAAACAACACACCCAGTACTACAATTCAATCCCCCTACCCAATGTTCGAACGTTCACTGTTTCCCAAATATCAATGTTCCAATAGAATACATATATTTTACTTGCGGTTGACTTAATCGTCTCAACTCGCTCTTGTGAATTTCAGTTCCAGCTTTCTGGGCCAGGTCTGCTCAATGAAAGCCACAAATCAGTGCCCCTCCATCCAAAACGGACAGTGTTTATCTTCAGTTTGAAATTCAGATTTAAACAATCAAAGGAGCCCTGAAATACATATCAATCACAGCATATGACATTCCAGGATTATGCGTTAATTTAGCACATGATAAGCCTATTAAATTATACATTATATATTGCAACTTACAGTCGGTACTGGCTCTTCAAAAATATATTAACTCTGCTTTCTTAACAGAATAAAGCATATAATTTCCAGCTATCGCTGTTTTTAGGGCTATCGCCAATTCAATATCAACTGTTTCTATAATCTGGAGCTAACGCTCAAATACTGAATTCATATTTTCCTTGTGCTATCGCACTCACGACCCTCTCTCATTGAGTCTCTTAACGGATCTGCCCCTAACCACATTTCAAATTCTCGGCAAACCGCATTGACGTTCCTACGCAAATTAACTATCAATTGTCATACAAATTATCAGTTACCCATCAATCCTAACCCCCCTTACACATAGATCAGTACACCCCTCGAGTTCACAATATCATTTCCTGCTGTCAGCACAGCATTTGCATTGCCATGCCAACAGTATTATAATAGCCTCTGACAATAGCTTAGAATTCCGCCCTCTCGTGACAACCACGTCAAATTTGATTCACCGGAACGTTAAAGATTGAGTCCACACAAAGGGCTTTTTTACTTGGCCAATATATACCTATTTTGAAACTGCTGCTGAACTACAATTTCAAGAGATTGATTCCATTAGGGTCAACCAGTCATTTCATCAAAATAATTGATGTAATTTTTTTTTTATTGTATTGCGTATGATATAGTAAGAGTGACGTTTTGCCCAACCTGACATGTTTTGCCCTACCTGATGTGTTATTCGAGGTGATATCAATCCTATGACTTGAGACCATGCAAAGCACTAGCCTGAGCTTGCACTTTGAAACTATATTGAATCTGATCCCCAAGTAGCAGTGGGAAAATATCTTAGGAGTGATATTTTGGCCTATTTTTACTGAATCAATTGAAAATTGATCAAGCTAGTTACCTTGATGTTGAGATTTTAATTCCTTCCAGAATCACTTGCAATTTTATTTTTTTTTTTAAATTATACTGAGAATTATACTGAGTAATCGGTAGCCCAAAACATCATGCTTAGACATCAGCTGCATTCCTTCTAAAACCAAGTCCACTGAACCTGTCTAAAAAGATGATCTGGAAGACTAGGAAAATGATAATAACCTTCATATACAGTATTTATAAAACTGTTATTCAGTATTTGAACTGTCAAAGATGGTGTAAAACCACAAAAAAATTGAAAATAATCTTCACTCTTTATCTCTAAAAATATATTTGGTGATGCTTTTAAATCATGTATGTTTGTTTTCATTTTTTATAGGCAAAAAGGCTGTGCAGGCTTTCTTGAAGAAAACACCCATTCTTGAAGGCCTTGCAGAGAAGGATAAAATTAAAGTTATCAAAACAAAGATATTTAATGAACGCCAAAAACAAAGGAACAAGAAGAATTTGTAAGCTCATGCTGTAGTTCAAGTAAAGTTGTTTCATTCAGGGCTTGTTTCTGCTGAGCAGAAAAACGCATTTTTTAACGGTTATTAGAAATGGGCCACAAAACAAAAACACTGTTAGAAATACGTTCTAAAAATGCCTGTTTTTTTTTATTAGAGGGCCTTTTTATATACCCTTTACAAAGTTTGTCCAAACAAACAAACAAAAAACCTAGCTAAAAAAAATAATAAATAAATAGTACATTACAAAATCTAAGGTTGCCTGGAATTAATTTTTTAATTGCGAGATTTCCAAGCCTTTTTATGTACCCTTTACAGAATTTGAAAAAAAATATCTTCAGTTTCTCTGCTAAGAAACAATTTGAACAATCCAGTATGTATTTTCAGGTATTGACATTATTGCAACAAGTTTGGTGGGAATTTCTATCTGGGCTAGCTGACTTACTGCTTTTAATCTTACTAAAGTTTAGAGTACACTTCCCATATTTCAACCGAAGCAGGTTCATTATATGGCATTAAAGCAGAAAAAAAAGTGGGGCCTACTTAGGTACACCGAAGGTTGATGGCTTTAGCGATCGATTTGTCGTTTTTATCGATGGTGTCCTTTACAGAATTTTTTTTTTTTTAACCTAATTGAGAATTAACTGGACCCCTTTATGCCAGCTGGTGGGATACTGAGCTTTTAAATATTGTACTCTATCTTAATAGTGGTGTTTCTTCGATGCTGATATCTTGTACATAATTTTATTACGAGTTACAAGCCATTTACAGTATTATGTTGATTACATGGAATTCTTTCTGCCTTTGTTGAATGAGTGCCTTAATGTCTGAGGCAATCCATTGTTAATTGTCTTTGAATATATTATAAAAGCACAATAAAATAATTTACCTTATGTTCAGTACTATTAGAATTTAAGACAGTATTCCAATCATGTTTGGTAATCCAGTGGTCAAACACATTTCCTAGGCTCAGTAATTGGGCGGAAGGTTTGTCTTATAGATTTACCCTTATTACACAGGGCTTTAGTATTTTTTTAAAAGGAAAATGCAGTTTCAACATTGTGATAATCAATAAAAATAATATTTTAATATATACCATCTATATCATTTGTACACAGAAAGTCATTAGAAAGCTTTTATCTAATTTCATTAACACAGCAGTTAAGTATGCATTATTGTCAGTAAGATCCATATTAGCTTTACCAACATTTCCCCAGTATGCCTTAGCTGTAAAATTTATTAAACTATCATCCAAAATAATTTCATTTGTGTCTGGCTTTTTAATACAATGAAGACTACTCTTCAGATGTTTACAATTTTGGCCCTTTAAAACCTTCAAAAAATCTATACAAGATGTACCACCTTGGTTTGGAATATCAATGGACATTTGGACACGTTTATGGGTTTCTTTGTATCACTCCAAAAGGATGGCACCATAATTACACGGATTATTAATAGTATTATGATGCTGGCTATTACAGTAGAACCCCTGTAAAGGGGACATCTTTGAGACCAGTGTCCCCATAATAGGGGTGTCCTTGAACAGGACGTGGCTGTAGTGTTTAAGATATACTTTCCCTCATTGAGTGCCTGAAAGAGTGTCCCCTTAATAGGGGTGTCCCAAAGGAGGGGTTAATAATAATAATAATATTTATTTGGCAATCATCAAGTACAATTTAAGCCTGGAGTGAGAATAGGCACAAGCCCAAACAGATACTGCACTCACTCCACCTTATACAAAAATGAACTGTACACCAATCAAGTTTTTAAATTATACATAAACAAAAATAAAAAATCACTAAACTAAAAATAACAAACAAAATACAATAAAGTTCAACTAATATAATGAAATATAGTACTTAGTTAGAGCAGATTTAAAAGATGAGATTGATGAAGAATTTTGAATTACAGGTGGTACTTTTTCCCATAGCCTAGGGAAAGATACAAAAACAGAATTTAGAAATGTATTGCTTTTCACTTTCCAATTTCTACTGTATTGCTGTTATTAATAATGATACCATTATTATTGTTAATATTGTCAATACATTTGTTGTTAGTATCATAAGGCCTTAATAAAAATTATGTTGGCGTAACAGGCCCAAAAATGAGGTAGGTAGGTAATATCTTTTCTTGCATTTTTCCCCTACAGGATATCTAATTATATTCTAAAAGAAAAATTAAGGAAAAAAGCTGAACATGTTGTCATTTGCTTGAATCCTTAGTACAGCATTTATTTGTTCAATTCATTTATGCATTGGATTTCTTTTCTCTGAAAAAAATGTCTAGAGTCAAGGGTATTTTTAGGGTCTGTTAGGTTACGCCAACATATATATATTTTTTTTTTTAGGCCTAATCATTATTACCTGTATAGTTATTATTAATACTACCATAATTATTTTTATTCCTATTAAACCACCTTCGGTGTTCAAGAGGCTTTTTTTCTTTCCTTAATGAAAGTGTCAATTTCTTTATCAAAACATGGTTTTAGTTTGTTTGTAGTTTTTATCCCACTGCCTCAATTACTTTAATATTTTCCAGGATCCCATATAGAGTCAGCACTATCAGATTTGTTAACAATCCAGTTATCAAATTTCTCTTGAATTAAATCTCATAATTACTTTTATTGCTATTAAACCACCTTCAGTGTTCAAGAGCTTTTTTCTTTCCTTAATGAAAGTGTCTATTTCCTTATCAAAACATGGTTTTAGTTTGTAGTTTTTATCCCACTGCCTCAATTACTTTAATATTTTCCAAGAATCCCATATAAAGTTAAAAATGCAGTTATCAAATTTCTCTTGAATTAAATCTTGATAGTTTGAATAATCCAGGTGAGGTTTTTATATTCCAAATTGTTTAAACAAAGTATAAAAAAGTCTTGCTGAGAGATGCTATACTTTGTTGTTTATTGAATGAATGATGTTTGTTACAAAAAATACAAAATTTAAGTGCTTTGAAAATTTAGAGTAACATACTCGCACGAATAAGTGCCTGGGCGCTTAAAAAACATTTTGCACTTTTTCAGAAGTGTTTATTCATACAGGGCGCTTATGAAAACAAGGTGGAAATTGAGGGAGTGCTTATAAGGAAATAGATGAAAATTGAGGGGTGCTTTTTGAATTAATAAGAGCTTTTATATAGTTCATGTGAACAAAGCCCAGATTAAGTAACGATTTGTAGTCCACTACAATTAATGATGAAAAACTTAATGAAAACAATCAAAATATTGATTTCCTCAACTATCGCTGATATTATTATTGTTGTAATAACATTGACAAACTGGAAAGTACCTATACTTTAAACTCTGTGTTAAATGTCTAATCAGTAGGAATGGTTGGCTCGGACTCGGGGGGGGGGGGGAGTTTCAACTCTTGCTGTGCAGGTCACATGTGTCCTTGGGCAAGACACTTTATCTACAGCTGTCTATCTCCACCAAGGAGTACAAGAGGGTACCTGGTAGTTTCAAACAGAACCTGTGCTGATTACAGCTGCAACATTATTTGTTATGTACTTATTATGTACTTGATCCAGTGACTGGGGGTAATGTAAGCGCATGGTTTCTACAATATGCGCTATAAGGCAACAGTTATTATTATTAATCAGATAAACATAGTGGAATATAATGGTCTACATTATTTGAAGCTACTTACATTACTGTCAGTTCTACAGGATCAAGATTTACCTCTTCCTCGTCATTTAAAATATTTTAAAATTGGTCTAATTTTGAAAAATTACCGAGTACGGTATGTATGGTACTTTGTTATTGATTGATATTATTAAGCAGTTGTTGATACTATTGTTCTTGATATTACTGTAATATGCTTAATGATAATTCTGAATAAAATTATACAGTTCTATTGGAATCAGTCATTTGAGGCACGTTGTGGGAAAATGGCTAAGTTGTAGCAAAAATTGAAATTCAAGTTATTAGTATTTTCAGATACCTGAGTATGTGATCTTTAAAATGAGGGGTCATTCATTGAAATTGGACATTTCAAGCATAAGTTATTGGAAAGTGAAATTACAGCACTCTTAGAGTCAAGATAAACATGATTTTGAGTAATTGCCTTCCAAAGTTATTTGTGCATACATTGTTTAATAGAATTAACTTATCATACCCTTTTTACCCAGAAGTCCAGTTCTTTCTTAACCAGTTTAATGAGCTCAGACCGAGAGAATGGCAAGAAATACACCATCTCATTGATTCTACCGAGAAACTCATCTAGTTTGAAATGTCTTTTTAGTATTGGTTGCACTACCAACTCCTTAAACCTTCTAGAAACTGTGATTTCCTCTTCAACAGTTGTGTTTTCTGAAGTTAATAATATTAATGCAAAAAATAAAACAAAATCATTTTTTATTATGACATAAAAAGACAAATATAATAGAAGCAGTAGAAGCGATGTTTGTGGCTCGCACTCTCAACCTTCAGGTAAGGGGTTCAGAGCGTTCACTGTGCAAATCGCTTCTGTATTTGACCAAGGCACTTTATCCAGGTTGTCTCCCTCTACCCAGGAGTATATAAGTGGGTAGCTGAGCAAATTGAGTGCAAAATGCACTGATATATTTCATGTCACAAACTATGGAATTTCCCCCATAGGCATCATTCCAATGACTGGGGTAATAATGTGGAAAAGTGCTCTGTGACTTAGTTGTGTAGAGCGCAATATAAAAACGTACATTATTATTACCATTATTATTATTATTATTATTATTATTATTATTATTAAAGATTATTTCCTATTAAAGACATAAAAAGAATAAGATAACAGGTAATCATACTTATATAATATTATGTATACTGTTTATTTGTTATCTCAAAACAGCAAGTAACATGGTACCACAGGACAGAATCAATAATGCTACACTTTGTATGAGAGTTTGACAGGGAGCAAGTTTAATAAGGCTAATAAGATGATTGGGCCAGAATCTCAAAATTCTTATGGGAATTTCAAGCAACCTTTACTGTTACATGGTACAGTAAGAGACACAACATTATAACCTGACTGTGCGCACTCTTATTTGGAATGGATGGATTTATTCGGTACAAACACCAAGGACAACTCACAAGAGTCTGAAGAAGACTTATTTCTACTGGGGTCCTTCTGGTGGTCTTTGTGGCAGTACACTCTGACCTCTTTTTCAAAGGGTGTACTGTGTTTTTAAATGTGCACATGGGCCTTATATGCCCATGGGACTAACAGCTTAAACGTTTCATCTGAAAGACGGTGTCCTCTCGTAGCTTGCATTTCAGCCCTCCAGATGAAATACAAGGAGAGCAGTGATAGGGATTGAGCCGGGGACAAAGAGACCTCCATGGCTCTATCACTACTCGGTGACTACTACCAGTTTAGCTGACTGAGCAAAGTTGTTATCCTGTCTCTTATACACATCTGTATATACATCATCTTAATAGAGTGTAAAATTATTTTGGAAGTTTTAGAAAAATGCATCATGTATTCTTTCTGCAATTGGGACATGGGGTAAATCTAGTGTTTGTTTTTTCCCTTTCTCCGTAATTTGGAGTCGGATTGCAGGTTCTTTCGGTTGCTGCTTTGTTGTCTCCTTGCTAAGTTCATCGTTTGGATTATCAACTGTAATGTTAAGATGACAACCTTTCTTGATAAGCTGCTGTTCTTGCGCGGCCGCCAACTGGTTTACCACCCTTCGTTCTACCTGAGGAGAATAGTTCAGTTTCATGAGCTTTTTGTTATGAAAACATCTAATGAACATCAAAATAATATAGTGCAAGCTTCTGTATGATAAAATAAAAAGTCTAAAATTTTGAAACAAAAATCAAATACAGTATCATAATATAAATAAAATATTAAAATATTCAGAAATTTAGACCTGCATTTGTTGGACATCTTGACAATAACACAGAGGGAAAATTCTAGGGAAGCAATGCAGCAGAAGGATCAGAACAATAGTTCGATACTCCATGCATATGAGCCCAAGAAGATTAATTCAAGTAATTTATTCATTTTGATTTGTCACTGCTGCAAAATGTACAGGGTGCTTTCGATTTGGAGCGATGTAGAATGTAACAACTTCATGGTAACTTAACTGCGCATGTATGACGTTTATGTTACATTCTCTCCTGAAATCAGTTTGTCAGCTACATACAAGGTATGTTCATACCAGAAAGAGGACTGTACTGTATTAAACATTGATGCGTCTGTCTTCTCGACATATCTGCATATGCAGCGTAAAAAATAAAATAATCAAAAGTAGAATGTAGAACACAACCAGTCACGGATGATTTTTCCGTTCTACGTTTCCGTACTATGTTAATGTTCTACGTTGTCAATCAAAAGCTCCATATTAGCTAACATTATGAATAACCTTTGACATTTCACCTATGAACTTACTTCATGCTTGATTGATCTTGCCCCATAATGTACATTGTAACCATCTGCCAGTACATCCAGTACATGTCTATCCCACGTCAGCTCTATGTTGTGTTTCTGTTCAGCCTGAAAAATGACAAATAATATAAAGTGAGATGAACCAAGAAAGGCTGTTATGGAGAAATGCTATGACACAATTATACGACAGGGATGATAATGATTATGTTATCCCATTTAATAACGTGTCAGTGTGAAAAATATTCCACTCATCTAAATACCAGCGTCCAATATAAAGCAATAAAAAATCCTTTGTGTTGGACAAAAAAATCTTAGGGTAGGACTAAGAGGAGAAATTAGTTACATGAGTGAACTTGTTTATAGGCTGTGAAGTGGTTAACACTATGTTTCAGTACAAGGTGCAAGTAATTCATGGCATATTGTGCTGTGAGACTCCGGTAAAGAGCGCTATATAAATGCTTGAATATTATTAATATTATTATTATCACTGTCTTCTAAGGTCATTACCTAGAAGGGGCAAAATTGAAAACAATGATGAATGTGGTGATTATCTTTTTAATCTAGGATAGCATACTGTTTTCTTTGATGTACTGTACACACACATCACATACAGTGAAACTATAACTTGAGCCTTGAGCCTAATGATAAAGTATCATACCCTTTTTGCCCAGAAGTCCAGTTCTTTCTTAACCAGTTTAATGAGCTCAGACCGAGAGAATGGCAAGAAGTAGACCATCTCATTGATTCTACCGAGAAACTCATCTCGTTTGAAATGTCTTTTTAGTATTGGTTGCACTACCAACTCCTTAAACCTTCTAGAAACAGTGATTTCCTCTTCAACAGTTGTGTTTTCTGAAGTCAATAATATTAATGCAAAAAATAAAACAAAATTATTTTTTAATAATTTTTGCATCAGTTATTAGATTTTGACCTCAGATAACAAAGTTTTAATAATGTCATATTGTTTTCTTTGAGACAAGAGTTTGTACTAAATAGAGTAAGGCCTGTCTCTTATACACATCTAGATGTGTATAAGAGACAGGGGGCAGTGTGAAAAATATTCCACTCATCTAAATACCAGCGTCCAATATAAAGCAATAAAAAATCCTTTGTGTTGGACAAAAAAATCTTAGGGTAGGACTAAGAGGAGAAATTAGTTACATGAGTGAACTTGTTTATAGGCTGTGAAGTGGTTAACACTATGTTTCAGTACAAGGTGCAAGTAATTCATGGCATATTGTGCTGTGAGACTTCAGTAAAGAGCGCTATATAAATGCTTGAATATTATTATTATTATCATTGTCTTCTAAGGTCACTACCTAGAAGGGGCTTGCAGGCCTTGTTTGGGTGGGGGGGGGGAAATTAATTTAAATGTTATAATTTTCTTTGATGTACTGTACATACACATCACATACAGTGAAAATATAACTTAAGCCTTGAGCCTAATGATAAAGTATATCATACCCTTTTTACCCAGAAGTCCAGTTCTTTCTTAACCAGTTTAATGAGCTCAGACCGAGAGAATGGCAAGAAATACACCATCTCATTGATTCTACCGAGAAACTCATCTAGTTTGAAATGTCTTTTTAGTATTGGTTGCACTACCAACTCCTTAAACCTTCTAGAAACTGTGATTTCCTCTTCAACAGTTGTGTTTTCTGAAGTTAATAATATTAATGCAAAAAATAAAACAAAATCATTTTTTATTATGACATAAAAAGACAAATATAATAGAAGCAGTAGAAGCGATGTTTGTGGCTCGCACTCTCAACCTTCAGGTAAGGGGTTCAGAGCGTTCACTGTGCAAATCGCTTCTGTATTTGACCAAGGCACTTTATCCAGGTTGTCTCCCTCTACCCAGGAGTATATAAGTGGGTAGCTGAGCAAATTGAGTGCAAAATGCACTGATATATTTCATGTCACAAACTATGGAATTTCCCCCATAGGCATTGTTCCAATGACTGGGGTAATAATGTGGAAAAGTGCTCTGTGACTTAGTTGTGTAGAGCGCAATATAAAAACGTACATTATTATTATCATTATTATCATTATTATTATTATTATTATTATTATTATTATTATTATTATTATTATTATTAAGATTATTTCCTATTAAAGACATAAAAAGAATAAGATAACAGGTAATCATACTTTTATAATATTATGTTTATTTGTTATCTCAAAACAGCAAGAAACATGGTATCACAGGACAGAATCAATAATGCTACACTTTGTATGAGGGTTTGATAGGGAGCAAAGTTTAATAAGGCTAATAAGATGATTTGGCCAGAATCTCAAAATTCTTATGGGAATTTCAAGCAACCTCTACTGTTACATGGTACAGTAAGCGACGCAACATTATAACCTGACTTGTGCGCACTCTTATTTGGAATGGATGGATTTATTCGGTACAAACACCAAGGATAACTCACAAGAGTCTGAAGAAGACTTATTTCTACTGGGGTCGTTCTGGTGGTCATTGTGGCAGTACACTCTGACCTCTTTTTCAAAGGGTGTACTGTGTTTTTAAATGTGCACATGGGCCTTATATGCCCATGGGACTAACAGCTTAAACGTTTCATCTGAAAGACGGTGTCCTCTCGTAGCTTGCATTTCAGCCCTCCAGATGAAATACAAGGAGAGCAGTGATAGGGATTGAGCCGGGGACAAAGAGACCTCCATGGCTCTATCACTACTCGGTGACTACTACCAGTTTAGCTGACTGAGCAAAGTTGTTATCAGGAACGTCATACTAAAATAGAATAGGCGTAATGCCTGAAGTAGTAGTAGCGCACAAACCTAGGTTAGCTTTATGTCGTTGTCTACTGATCTCTTCAGCTTCCATCCTCAGCTGTAGGCCATGATTAGCAATTTCATCACTTGCTAAATTTGAGGTCATCACAAATATAGCATCTTTACATTCAATTGTAGTACCTTTGCCATCAGTAAGACGACCCTGATTTGATAAAAAAAAAACTGATTTAAAAAAAAAAAAAAAAAAAAAAAAAAAAAAAACATATGTGGTAGACTCTAGCAAAACCAATTGCTTGTTGTCAAAAACAAAATTCCCATCTATTGATCATCTTAATGAATGTTGGACAAAAATATAAATTATCATATCTTTTTTTTGCATCAGTTATTAGATTTTGACCTCTAGAAGTTTTAATAATATCATATTGTTTTCTTTGAGACAAGAGTTTGTACTTACTAGAGTAATGCACATGTATAAATGAAAATCACTATTAATATTAAGTAAAACGCTACCAAAGAAAAGGCTATTATTATTATTTCATATTAAACTGACTAAGATTTTGCTATCTTACAAATAGTATAGGAAATTTGGATTCTTTATTAGAATAAATTATTATTATTGGTTTATTATTAACCAATATTATTGGTCAAGACATTTTAACTGAATTTGATCATGAGAATTCAGGTCTAGCTGAACCTACTGTAGCAGTGTTCGAAATAATAAGGAAAAACTTAAAGTTGTCCGGCGGACAACCTAGATGGAAACTTTGGTTGTCCGCAAATGTTTTTACTTGTCCGTATATTATCTGTTGCTTGCTTCATTTTTACCTTGCACTGTTTTCCCTCCTGAACTTGTTGTGTCCTTCAAACCCAGCCATTTCCTAAGATCGTTCGACATGACGAAAAGTTAGATGAAAAGTTTGAAAGCCTTCCCACGCATGCCTCCAGTGCCTTGTTGTGCGGCCCGCCCATAGAGCTATTAAACAACTAGAGTGCTGACAAGATGGCGCAGTAATGCAGAGTTATGTATGTGTACCATCCAAGATGGCTGTCGTAGTAAAGCGCCACCTTCAGGCTTAGTATACATATTATTACATATTAATAAGCCCTCTGACTGACTATTATTTCATTAATGATAATGAGTAATGGTAATAACAAATTATTGAACTATTGTAGACAAAACGAGGTCAAGTGGAGCATCTTATTCAAAAATAAAGTACCAAGGAATGAAAATTAAAATCGTGTACATTACACCCAAACACCGCAACGCTCGAGTTTCAAACATACGGGTAACTATCTGTACTAAACTTTCTGAGTAAATTGAGGGCGCAATTGCAAACGATGGTGCTTAGCGAAATTTGATTGGCTAAATCTATGGCAGCCATCTTGGATGGTACACACACACAGTTCTGAGTATTTCGAACATCGAATACATTGCGGTTAGCGCTCTAGTATTCTTATTATATCTCTATGGGCACGCCACAGTATAAGGAACAAGCGAGAGGGCGCCTCAGTTCAAGTCTCAGACCAAAACATGAGAAAACATGGCCATAATTGACAATATTATGAAATTAATCAGGCTACTTACCAATTCCTGAAGATCCTAGAAAGAGGAAGACCAGAGGATGGTCATCATCCATCCATCCATTCTCCTTTCTCCTGATTGCTGATGAGAAATATACACATCAACTTATGTGAATTGACTGAAGATGATTTTAATGATGGTGATGATGATAACGATGATGGTGATGATGACGATGATGATGATGTGATGATGACTGTAATAAGGAAAACGTTGTAGACAATGACTTGTTGTAGTGATGGTGGTGGTGATGACAACAATGATGATGATAACAGTGAAGATGATGATAACAATAATGATGATAACAGTGAAGATGACAACAATGATGATAACAGTGAAGATGATGACAACAATGATGATGATAACAGTGAAGATGATGACAACAATGATGATGATAACAGTGAAGATGATGACAACAATAATGATGATAACAGTGAAGATGACAACAATGATGATAACAGTGAAGATGATGACAACAATGATGAGGATAACAGTGAGGATGATGACAACAATGATGATGATAACAGTGAAGATGATGGCAACAATGATGATGGTAAATGTGAAGATGATGGCAACAATGATGATGATAACAGTGAAGATGATGACAACAATGATGAGGATAACAGTGAGGATGATGACAACAATGATGATGATAACAGTGAAGATGATGGCAACAATGATGATGGTAACAGTGAAGATGATGGCAACAATGATGATGATAACAGTGAAGATGATGACAACAATGATGATGATAACAGTGAAGATGATGGCAACAATGGTGATAACAGTGAAGATAATGACAAGAATGATAACAATGAAGATGACAACAATGATGATGATAACAGTGGTGGTGATGACGACAATCATGGTAGTAAAATAATTATGATGAACCTTTAATGAGAAATGATCACATGAAGACATACTGTAGGATAGGAATTATTATTTGTGAAAGGATAATTCCCAGAAATTAAAAGAATTGTTTCCAGTGGTCATTTGTGTGGTGAACTGGACATTACCAGGAAATTCCCTGATTCTTTCCAACTGAAACACAAGGAGAGCACTGAAAGGAATTGAACCAGGGATCAAAGATTTGGAATGATTTCAATGGTTCAGCACAAAGTGGCTACCACCAGTTTAGCCGTCTGAGCTGAGCTGCTCCCTTTAATTGTGAGATATTAATATTTTTTTCAATAAGCAGGTACGTACTTGCAGCAACTGTAGTGATAGCGCCCTCTTGTCCAATAATATTTTCTTTTAATCTCTGTTCTAAGGGATAGCGCCTTCTCTCTTCTAATGCTCTCTGTTCCTCAACAGCTTTATACTATGGAGATAAATTGACAATAATGATAATCATAGTAAAAATGTTGGCCTTACATACTGCATAAGAATAGTTCCCCCTACCATATATTATGATTCATGACAGTAAAACTTACACAAAAAAGGCTAGCACCTTCAATCAATGACCCTGAAAGTAGGACAATATGATTCATAGTAAGCACTTTGCATCTAAAACCAATCAACTCCTTGATTCCCATTATTCTCAGCATCTTAAGCCGGGCAGTTAATGTACCTGATAGTTGTTGGCCGACGCGATTTTATAGAGAACGCAACGCCACGACAGGGGCACAATGGATTGATCTTAATGACTATATGTTTAGACTGCTGGCACCAATCAATAGATGACGTCTATGTCTACTGCAAAACACCCCAGAAAATGGACCAATTGGCGGGCAGACAGAGTTTTTGAGGGCGCGACCTATTCTGTTTACAATTAGACTACCGACCAGCAAGTGGCATTGCCCAACGAAGAATATGTGCTTGGAAAAACATAATCAGACCTAAAGAAATGCACGCAAAAACAATATAAAAATCGCATCAACTTTATTGGTAATAATTAAATTTGAGCAGCACAGCAAAACAACAGGTACTGTACGTATTATTAAATAATGTGTTGAATTTGCGTAG